AACCACATGATTATCTCAATAGATGTAGAAAAGGCTTTCAACAAAATTCAACAGCCATTCATGCTAAAAACTCTCAATAAATTCGGTATTGATGGAACATATCTCAAAATAATAAGAGCTATTTATGACAAACCCACAGCCAATATCATACCGAATAGGCAAAAACTGGAAGCATTCCCTTTGAAAACTGGCACAAGACAGGGATGCCCTCTCTCACCACTTCTATTCAACATAGTGTTGGAAGTGCTGCCTAGGGCAATCAGGCAAGAGAAAGAAATCAAGGGTATTCAGTTATGAAAAGAAGAAGTCAAATTGTCCCTGTTTGTAGATGACATGATTGTATATTTAGAAAATCCCATCATCTCAGCCCAAAATATCCTTAAGCTGATAAGCAACTTCAGCAAAGTCTCAGGATACAAAATCAATGTGCAAATATCACAAGCATTCTTATACACCAGTAACAAACAGAGAGCCAAATCATGAATGAACTCCCATTCACAATAGCTTCAAAGAGAATAAAATACCTAGGAATCCAACTTACAAGAGACATAAAGGACCTCTTCAAGGAGAACTACAAACCACTGCTCAGTGAAGTAAAAGAAGACACAAACAAATGGAAGAACATACCATGCTCATGGATAGGAAGAACCAATATTGTAAAAATGGCCATACTGCCCAAGGTAATTTATAGATTCAATGCCATCTCCATTAAGCTACCAATGACTTTCTTCACAGAATTGGAAAAAACTGCTTTAAAGATCACATGGAACCAAAAAAGACCCCACATTGCCAAGACAATCCTAAGCCAAAAGAACAAAGCTGGAGGCATCACACTACCTGACTTCAAACGATACTATACAAGGCTACAGTAAACAAAACAGCATGGTGCTGGCACCAAAACAGAGATATAGACCAATGGAACAGAAAAGAGCCCACATCTACAGCCATCTGATCTGTGACAAACCTGACAAAAACAAGAAATGGGGAAACGATTCCCTATTTAATAAATGGTGCTGGGAAAATTGGCTAGCCATAAGGTGAAAGCTGAAACTGGATCCTTTCCTTACTCCTTATACGAAAATTAATTCAAGATAGATTCAAGACTTAACTGTTAGACCTAAAACCATAAAAACCCTAGAAGAAAACCTAGGTAATACTATTCAGGACATAGGCATGGGCAAGGACTTCATGTCTAAAACACCAAAAGCAATGGCAACAGAAGCCAAAATTGACAAATGGGATCTAATTAAACTAAAGCGCTTCTGCACAGCAAAAGAATCTACCATCAGAGTGAACAGGCAACCTACAGAATGGGAGAAAATTTTTGCAATCTACTAATCTGACAAACGGCTAATATCCAGAACCTATACAGAACTCAATCAAATTTACAAGAAAAAAACAACCCCATCAAAAAGTGGGCAAAGGATATGAACAGACACTTCTCATCAAGAAGACATTCATACAGCCAACAGACACAAGAAAAAATGCTCATCATCACTCGCCATCAGAGAAATGCAAATCAAAACCACAATGATATAGCATCTCACACCAGTTAGAATGGCAATCATTAAAAAATCAGGAAACAACAGGTGCTAAAGAGGATGTGGAGAAATAGGAACACTTTTACACTGTTGGTGGCACTGTAAACTAGTTCAACCATTGTGGAAGACGGTGTGGCAATTCCTCAAGGATCTAGAATTAGAAATACCATTTGACCCTGCTATCCCATTACTGGGGATATACCCAAAGGATTATAAGTCATGCTGCTGTAAAGACACATACACACGTATATTTATTGCAGCACTATTCACAATAGCAAAGACTTGGAATCAACCCAAATGTCCATCAGTGACAGACTGGATTAAGAAAATGTGGCACATATACACCATGGAATACTATGCAGCCTTAAAAAAGAATGAGTTCATGTCCTTTGTAGGGACATGGATGAAGCTGGAAATCATCATTCTCAGCAAACTATCGCAAGAACAGAAAACCAAATATCACATGTTCTCACTCACAGGTGGGAATTGAACAATGCGATCACTTGGACACAGAAAGGGGAGCATCACACACTGGGTCCTATTGTGGGGAGGGTGTAGCGGGGAGGGATAGCATCACAAGATACACCTAATGTAAATGACAAGTTAATGGGTGCAGCACACCAACATGGCACATGTATACGTATGTAACAAACCTGCACGTTGTGCCCTTGTACCCTAGAACTTAAAGTATAATAAAAAATAAAATAAAAAAGATTTCTGAGAAAGTAAATAAACTAGAAATGAAAAATATAATACTTGAAATTAGAAACTCAATAGAAATAATTAATTTCAGATTAGAGATCTGGGAAACATGAAAGAGTGACCTAGTTTAAAAGACAGTTTAACAAATCATTCTATTAAAAAACAGGCAAATGATGAAAAGACATATCTCCAAAAAGACGTACAAATGACCAAGAAATATATTAAAAATGCTCAACATCACTCATTATCAATGAAATGTAAATCAAAACCACAAAGACATCATCTTATCCCAGTTAGAATGGCTATTATCAAGAAGACCAAAGAAAAACAGATGCTGACACGGATGTAGAGAAAAAGTAGAGTAAGCTCAATTATTAAACACTATTGGTGGGAACGTAAATCAATAGAGCCATTATGTAAAACGCCATGAAGATTTCTCAAAAACTAAAAGTAGAACTACCATATGATCCAGCAATTCCACTACTGCGCATATATCCAAAAGAAAGGAAATCAATATATCAAAGAGATATTTGCACTCCCATTTTATTGCAGCACTATTCAAAATTTGCTGAAGTATGGAATAAACTCAAGTGCCCATCAATGGATAAACAGATAAAGAAAATGTGGTATGTATACACACATACACACACACACATTGAAATATTATTCAGCCATTGTAAAGAATGAAATTCTGTCATTTGCAGCAACGTAGATGGAACTGGAGGTCATCATATTAAGTGAAGTAAGCCAAGCAGAGAAAGACAAATATCACAGGTTCTCATTCATATGTGGAAGGCAGACAAAGAGAAAAAAAAACGGTGGCTCTCATGAAGACAGAGAGTAGACTGGTGGGTACCAGAGGCTGGGAAGGTGGGGTGGGGGATGATGAAGAGCAGTTCATTAATAGATACAAATTGTGTTTCACAGATCAGTAGAATGACTATACTTAACACTAATCTATTATAAATTTCAAAACAGCTAGAAGAGAATAATTCAAATATTTCTACCATAAAGATAAATATTTAAGGTGAGAGATTCTACATACCCTGATTTGATTATATGACTGTATCAAAATTATCATATATACTCTGAAAATATGTACATCTATTATGCATCAACAAAAAATATTAATTAAAAACAAGACATATAACTCAAAAGAAACATAATAAATACTAGAAGCAATCCCAATTTTTTTAAAAAAAGCAAACATAATTATTACATAATGCTTATAAGAGACACACCTAAAATATAAGGAAACACAAAGATTGAAAGGAAGAAGGAAAAATGATTTTTCATGAAATTACTAACAAAAAGATACCTGGTACGGTTATATTAATATAAAGCAAAAAAAGCTTTTAAAATTATTTCTAAACATAAAGAGAGTCAGTTTATAATGACAGAGGTTCAACTCACTATGAAAAAACAATCTATAATTAATATGCATCCAATAACATATCTTCAAAATACATAAAACAAAAACTAACATTAGTAAATCTACTCTTAGTTTCCTGAATGGCAATCAGAAAAAAAAAAAAAAAAATCAGAACAGGTATAGATTTTAGAACAGCATTAACCAATCTGTCACAATTTGCATGTAGATAATACTACACTCAAAAGCTACAGAGTATGTACTCTTTTAAAACTCAATTTGAACATTAAAAAATCAAATGGACCATATCTTGACAAATGTTAGGTACTTTGATCATAAAGAATACATTTTCTTTCCTTTTTTTTTTGAGACTGGGGACTTGCCACGTTGCCCAGGCTGATCTCAAACTCCTGGCCTCAAGTAATCTTCCAGCCTCAGCCTCCCAAGTAGCTAGGATTACAGGCATGAGCCATCATGCCCAGTAAAACACATTTTCTAACTAATTCAGCTAGAACGCAAGAAAAAAAGAATAAAAATAAATGTCCATATATTAAGAATCAGGAAACACACTTTAAACAACCATGGGTGAAAGAAACATATCAGCAGAAAAAGTTTTAAGTATGTATGTTAAACAGTGATGAAAATACCATTTGTTGGCCGGGCATGGTGGCTCACACCTGTAATCCCAGCATTTTGGGAGGCAGAGGTGGGTGAATCACCTGAGGTCAGGAGTTCGAGACCAGCCTGGCCAACATGGTGAAACCCAGTCTCTACTAAAAATATAAAAATTAGCTGGGCATGGTGTTGGATGCCTGTAATCCCAGCTACTCAGGGGGCTGAGGCAGGGAGAATCGCTTGAATCTGGGAGGGGGAGGTTGCAGTGAGCCAGGATCCTGCCATTGTACTTCAACCTGGACAACAGAGCGAGACTCTGTCTCAGAAAAAAAGAAAATATCATTTGTGCTAAGCATCCACCTAAAGGAATTAAAAATAAAAAGAGCCTCAATGGAAATTTGAACTAAAGGGAAAGAATAAAATTAGCAGAATTAATGAATTCAGAAACAAAAACACCACAGTCAAGAAAGTGTTTTATACTTTAATGGAAACCAGAAAAAAAAATTACCAGGTCATTAGCATAAAAGATATTTTAAAACTATTCTCAGCAAATCGCGGTGGCTCACGCCTGTAATCCCAACACTTTGGGAGGCCGAGGCAGGTGGATCACGAGGTCAGGAGTTCAAGACCAGCTTGGCCAAGATGGTGAAACCCCATCTCTACTAAAAATACAAAAATTAGCCGGGCATGGTGGCAGGAGCCTGTAATCCCAGCTACTCGAGAGGCTAAGGCAGGAAAATCGCTTGAACCAGGGCGACAAAGGTTGTAGTCACCTGAGATCGAGCCACTGCAATTCCAGCCTGGATGAGAGTGAGACTCCATCTAAAAAAAAAAAAAAATTCTCATAAACAGGAATTAGGAAGACATACATAAGAACACACCCACATCAGTGGCTACTTCCACTCAAGGTTCTGATCTTGTTGCTCCAAATAGTAAGAAAGGGAGATCTGAAATTTAGTTGTTTACGCAATAAAAATGTGCTCACTCCCTGTCTTTCCTATGCCATCTCCCACTGCTTCCCTCCAGGCCAGACCTGTCTGCAGTACCCTCTGAACTTCCTTCCACTCTGTCTTAAACATCTTCAAATGCATCAATCAATGCTTTCTCTCTCTCTCCTTGTCTTCTGTAAAACTTGGTTCTGCCATAATTATACTGGCTTCTCCTATGTTCTCATGTGTAGATTCTTTATCTCACACATTCCCAACAGTATTAACTATATTTAAGTGTCTCCCATCTTAAGAAACACACACACACCCCTTCCTCTAATTCCAATGACCACCATTCTCCTTGGTTTAAAAACCAACTCTTGAAAGAGTTTTCTTCATGTATTCACAATCCCTGCACTATGGTTTCTATTTTCACCACAAAAGGAAACTGTTTTCGCTAAGATCACCAATGATTTCCTTGTTCCTAAAGCTAATGGACCTTTCTCAGGCCTTATCTCATTTGAGGTTTCTCCTATTATTTGACACTGTTAACATCTCCTCTTTCTGGTAATATTTTCTTCTCTTTGCTCCCAAACTAGTTTACTTCCTATCTTTCTGTCCACTTTTCCTTAAGTACCATTTTTCTGCTTGTGTCTAATATTCCTCAAAATTCTGTCCTAGGTCCTCTTCTATCTGCCATCCTTGGGTGATCATATCTGCTTCCACAGCTTCAATTTCCATCTACAAAATTAATCTCAAGCATATATATAAAATATATATAATAAAAACTAGCATATGTGTTACACACACATATATATATACACACATACACACACACCCCCATAGAAAGGTATGCTGTTTCCCTTTCACCTACCCCCAACTCCTGAAATAAGAATTCCTTATAATGTTGCTTACCAAGGACCAAATTGAACTTCTCTTCACCAGGCAAATCTGTCTATTTTCCTGTGATTCCAGTTTTAGTAAATAATACTATCATTCATTCAATTGCTCAAGGCAGAAACATATATATGTCTTTTCTCCTCCTTCTCCCTTGCTACTCACATCCAGTCAACCACTATCCACTAAAGCCTACTTTATAAATCTTTCAAAATGATCTAAATCTCTTCTCTGAAACATCAGTATTTATTCTAAGATTTCAAAAACTAAGACCCTCAAATTCATCATTTCTTGTATACAGTATAAACTTACCTAATCCACAAGAAAAATTAGCTTAGCTTTCATTTATAAATAAATACCAAAAAATCCACTAGTAAAAAATATGACTGTAATATAGTTTGAATGTGTGTCCCCTCCAAATCTCATGTTGAAATGTAATCCCTGGTGTTGGAGATGGGGCCTGGTGGGAGTTGTTTGAGTCATGGAGGCAGATCTCTCATGAATGGCTTGGTGCCTTCCTCGAGATAGTGAGTTCTCACTCCGAGTTCAAGTGAGATCTGATTATTTAAGAGTCTGGAATCTCCCCCTCTTATGATACAATGACAATGACTCCTTTGTCTTCTACCATGATTGAAAGCTTCCTGAGGCCTCACCAGGAGCAGATGCCAGCGCCATGCTTCCTGTACAGCCTGCAGAACCATGAACCAAAATAACACTCTTTTCTTTATAAATTACCCGGCCTCAGATATTTCTTTATAGCAATGTAAATGGACTAATACAGACCTCCTATCATGACAAGGACGTGTTGGACACACTGATCTTAGATAATATTAAGGCAATTAAGACTCAAAATATGTTAAAAGCAAAATGCTGGCATAAATGCTTTTGTTTTCTAAAACCAAAGACACACGTGAATTATTTGTTAAATAAAAGGCACCCATTTGAAAAGGGTGATTTTTTTATAATGTGCTAGATTTCTCATTGCCTTTTTTTAACCTATCCCCATCACAGTCTTTCCTTCTTAAATCTTCTTATCCTAGTGTAGACCTAAATATGAATATTCTGGTTTGCTTTTGTTTTTTCTTTTTTTTTTTTTTAAAGACAGGGTCTCGCTATGTTGCCCAGGCTGGTCTCAACTCCTGGGCTCAAGTGATCTTCCCACCTCAGCTTCCTAAGGTGCTGGGTTTACAGGTGTGAGCCACCACACTTGGCCCTGCTTTCTTTAAAACAATATTTTATATTCTATATTCTATTTAAAATCCAAGTATTCTATTATAGTAACCCAAAAAAGTTGTGAAAAGTTATTTCACTAGTATCAACATTTAATCTGTATTTAGGCACTGTTAAATTGAGCAGAATGAAGACTTATAAAAAATAAATTTTCTCTTTCTCTTTTATATTGTTTATTCCAGTTATTCCCAGAGATGTATATACCTACTCTAATGCATAAAAAATTATTTAATTTTAAATAGATTCCAGAAAGCAATAATAAAATGCCAATTTTTAAAGATTTATTCTCATATTAAGTAAAAAGTGTTTAAAAGATATCTGCATTTAAAAAAGTAATAAAGAAGTAATTCAATTTAAAAAAATAGCTAGACAGTGTCAGGAAGATCATAAGGTATAAAGACAGTATCTCCTCTGTTTTTATTTCAACTTTCAAATGCAGGGGGTACATGTGTGGGTGTTATATGGGTACACTGCATGATGCTGGGTATCTCTTTTAGAGTTTACAAATTAGTTGAGACGACAAAGGACACAGACACAAATAGCAAAACAAAAATACAGAATATTTAATAGGAAATGTGTGACTAAATGCCAAATAAAAGGCACTAACAAGAAAGTTATAAATTACTTAATACAGAGAAATCACTATGGACCAACAGTGATTAGAAACAGCTTCTTGGAAGAAACAACCTATGCTTTGTCAGATGAGTAGCAAACATTTAGAAAATAACAGAGGTAAGAGAATCACACATAATAAAAACCAAAGATTGTTTTCAGTGTAAAATAAATACAAGTGTGTCTAAAGGTGATTTCTACTAAGCAGTAAAGTTAAGAAAAGTTAGATAGGTTACCACTAAACTATAGAAGGCCTTGCATGCCAAACTAAGAATTATGAAATGAAATTTAACCTCTCTGGGCCTGATGGCACTGAAAGAAAAGCATCCAACAGACTCACTGACACTTGGGGAAAGCAACAGTATTTTTTAAGTGTTTAGTTCTCCCCACACCACTGCAAGGGGGAGAAAGGAAGAACTGATATAAAAATAAGCTTGATTTAATTTTACAAGCTTTTGCCAAGTAATCATAAAATTACAAATGAGTGATGTGAACTCTTCAACTGTTAAATTCCATTTATGAAATATGATACAACTTTTTATTTTATTCTCCTTAAGAACTAATCATTTATTTCAAGGTTGTGGGAAGTATTTCCCGCCCATCCTCCCAATCTTGGTACATGTCAGAGCCAGTTATTTTTGCAGCTTTGAAGCTGCTTCAAGATCTGTCATTTGGTTAGGTCAGGGGATGAATGCCTGAGGTGTTTTGTCCTCCAGGATGCTATTTTTCCTAAATTCATCTCTGTTTGGAAATGATTTATGCATTTTGGAGTGTAGGGTATTTTTTTTAAAGATTTAAAATATCAACATGTCTCACATTGACCTCGACATATTCAAGATATAATTTTCCATTCTTCTATTTTGTATAAATATTTAAGCTCACCTTTACATCAATCTGATCCTTTCAAAAAAAAAAAAAAAAAAAAGTTTTTCTTGGTAAGTAAGCATTCAATGTGAATTGGGTCATAGGGATATTCAATTTTAGAAGAAAAGAGGATTGTTTTTCTAGCTTTGCTGTGAAATAATTTCAAGTTAATGGAAGGGTTGCAAAAATAATTTTTTTAAAAAAACTCCTACATACCCTTGACCCAGATTCCCCAATTAACATTTTTCCTCATTAAATTTAGCGTTCTCTTATACACACAAACACACACAAATTTCTTTCAAGACATTTGAAGTTAAGTTGCAGACACAATGCTTCATTGTGTACCTTGATATGTCAGTGTGTATTTCCTAAAACCAAGGACACTCTTTCACATAACCACAGTACAACCATCAAAATTAATAATTTACTATCAACACAATTTTACCATTTAAACCAGAGACCAAATTCCAGTTTCACCCATTGTTCCAATAATGTTTAAATCCAATCCAGGATTATGCTTTGCATTTCACTGTTATGTCTCTTTGGTCCACTTCAATTTGGAACACTTTCTGCTGTCTCTTGATTTTGACATTTCCGATGCATAAAGGCTGGTTACTTCATAGAAGGTTCTTCACTTTGTATTTTTCTTATGTTTCCTTGGAATTAGATGTGGCTTATGTATTTTTGGCGAGAATACTACAGAACTGATGCCATGCTCTTCTAGGTTCATTATATCAGGAGGCACACAATGTCAATTTGTCCCATTATTGGGGTTGGCAACTTACGTCACTTGATTAATTGGTGTCTACCATGATTTCCCCCAGTTAATAAATATTTTGTACTGGATCACCTGAGGTCAGGAGTTCGAGACCAGCCTGGCCAACGTGGTGAAATCCCGTCTATACTAAAAATACAAAAAATTAGCTGGGCGTGATGGCAGGCACCTGTAATCCTGGCTACTCTGGACGCTGAGGCAGGAAAATCGCTTGAACCCAGGAGGCGGAGGTTGCAGTGGGCCAAGATCGCGCCATTGCTCTGCAGCCTGGGTAACAAGAGTGAAACTCCATCTCAAAAAAAAAAAAAAAAAAGATTTAGTAATACATATTTTGTGGGCAAATACTATGAAATTATGCAAGTATCCTCCTCATAAAAATTTCACCTACTACTGAGAAGAATAACAATGGTGATTGAATCCCTAAACAACTGTGGTATCCAGGTTGTCTCACTGGGACTGAGTAGGCGGTTGGTGAGACCCATGGAGAGTGAGGAAAAGCAGGGTGGTGTGACAGCCCA